AAGCCACATGCCTGTTGGACAAACACCCCAGTCATTGTCGACATTGATCTGGAAACCACTGATCCCCACCCGGGTCCCCACATCACACCTGCTGACTCCAACAGTCAGTTTCTTTGTGATGCTCACTGGAGCATCCCATATGCTCCCCTGGAGACAGCCACCTGCTGACATTTGTCACACACTACACAGGAGGTCCACTGTTGTTTATTTGGACGGTAATTTTCCTCACCCCAAGCCCTCATGAGGCCACACTCCTGCTCGGGTCTCCTGTCCTGCTGGGACAGGTGCATCTCTGCCTGTGTGATGTATGTTATAGGCCAGTGTGCGGGTGGCCAGGGCCCTGCTTCTCCTCTCAAAGCAGGACAAATGACCCCAGGCAGTGAACAGCAGTGTGGCCAGCATCCTTTCTAACTATTCCATGCTCTTGCCATACACATGATTGAACATATTCTTTAATTAATTATTTAATTATGTTGTTAAACATGTCTTCTGGTTTGTGGCCACACACAGATCTTCAGTTCCTTGGTTTGGGGTCCCTGTCACTGTCAGTCATTAACATTCACACACTAACTTGGCTGTTGTACCACTCAGATACCACACATATGTAGTTATTTTATGGCCATAGCCACTTAGTTACTACATAGTGGACACGCTGACCCACACATCTTAGGAGGGAAAGGACCCCAAGTCATAACAGAGGGCCATCTGAGGGCGCAGGGTGAAGGGCAGGGCTGTGGCAGGGCCTGGGCCTGTTTGCCAACCTCCATCCTTCCCTGACTTCCCAGTACCCGAGATGGAGCCTCCTGGTGCCAGTGACAGCGACGGCATCAATGCTCTTTGCACACAGATCAGCTCATCTTTCGCCAGTGCTGGAGCACCAGCACCAGGGCCACCGTCTGCCACAACAGGTAAACCCAGCCTTTCTACTGGGTGTTTACTCTGCATTGCCCCTCCTGTATTCCCCTTCTCCATTCAGGACTACATTGGAGACTCCAGGAATCTTGGAACCGCACAGACATAGAACCGTGGGATCACGTTAGAACCATGGATTATTTTAGAGCCCTGGGATTACCTTAGAACCATGTATCATCTTAGAGCCATGGATTATTTTAGAACCATGGGATCATCTTAGAGCCATGGAATTGCCTTAGAACCATAGATCATCTTAAAGGTATAAGATCATTTTACAACCATGGGACCATCTTAGAGGCATGGACTCATCCTAGAACCATGGGATCACCTTAAAATCATGGGACCACCTCAGAGCCAAGAGATGATTTTAGAACCATGGAATCACTTTAGAGCCATGGGCTTATCTTAGAACCATAGTAGCACTTTAAGAATCTCAAACAATGTAGAACTCTAGAATTTTAGAAAACACAAACTTAAAACTGGTGAACCTTACTCGCTATGTTAGAATAGAACACTCTGAGAAAGATCCATGCAATGTTACGATCTTAGTCTCCTAAAATGATACATTCTCAAAATACTAGACTCGGGCCGAGGCCGTGGCGCACTCGGGAGAGTGCGGCGCTGGGAGCGCAGCAGTGCTCCCGCTGCGGGTTCG